CCTTCCTTCCTTCCTTCCTTCCTTCCTTCCTTCCTTCCTCTCTTTTGTGTGCCAAAAAACAATCTTTCTCTCTCTTTCTTGCTCTCTTTTTTGCCAAAAAACCATCTCTCTCTGTCTCTCTCTCCATTCTGTCCTGTCCTGTCCTGTCCCCTTCACATATATGTTTGCATTTAGGAAATGTTTCATTTTTGGGCTAACAAGGGTCTGGTCAGCAGCTTTTTGAGTTAAAGAAGGGTGGCCAGCCATCTTGACTCCACCAGCTATATTAATACCTGAGTTAAAAGTACTCTGCGTTAACAAGAATAGACAGTATTGATGGAGTTGGCAAAGTCCTCATCGTGTATACCTTAGCTGCTATTCATCTGTTTTTGCCTCAAGCTCAGGAGCAATCACTCAGGTTCGTGAGTAGAGAACTCTGGTAGCAGCTCCGTGGTAATTCACACCAAGGAGAAGAATTTAGAAACCTCTTGCCATAGGGGAAAATAGGTAAGGGGAGGGTCCTTGAGGCCAGGGGATAAATTAGGTTTCAGATAAGAAGCTGCTGGGAGATAATACTTTGATTGTGTAGTGTTATTAAAGGAATGGAGGAAATACTGTCTTAAAAGCTACCCAATGAAGCAGAATGTGTATGCCCCTATTTCAGATAATCCCTATATCAAATGCAGCATAAAGATGAGAAGACTAATGTTGTGATGACCTGTAGCTAATGGATTGCTGCATGTTTTATACTGCAGCGGTAGGGAATGGGTAGCCCTCCAGCTATTGTATACAGCATCAACTCTAACTAGTGATGCTGAAATCTGATGACATACCAAGGTTGTAGTTTTAGAAGATGTAGCGATGCTAGTCTGTGCCAGCAGATCACACCAAATACAACATAAAAAATAAAAAAATAAAGAAGATGAAAACATTGTAGCACCTTAAAGACTAATTGCTATCTTTTAATCTGAGCTTTTATTTTTATTTTTATTTGGGAGGAAGGGGGCTGACATCCATAGGGTTACAGATTCCCTTTCTGGTGTTACACGTGGGGTTCTCGATGAATTGTGTTGAATTTGCAGTTTTGTTCTTATGCAGTAGGTTTCTCCAGAACCACTGTAGTTTGGTGGAACCTGTTACCTCACACAGATTAAGTTGTTTTCTTAATATCAGGATGAAATAACATTAATCTTGCATGTAACCAGAAATTTTGTGGAGGAAAAATATGTATAACTTGCAAGTTACCAAAGCTGAACAAATCTAAACTACTGCTAGATTTTCACTCTTGTCAAAATGAAACAACCTGTTTCGTTTAATTCACTTCAGTTTTCTCCTTCCCCAGGATTGCTCAGTACAACTTGGAAAAGTAACTTTGTTGTACTGTAGTTCTCAGAATCTTCCCTCCAACTTCTTAGTACAGTGTCTGTCCCAAAGCTATGCATTTATTAGTGGTACAGGGATTTGAATCCATGTTTCTCCACCCCAAGCACTATATTGTGTAATCCAGGTAGGACAAGTGACCTGTGGTTCTGGTACTTCCTCCCAGGGTTTTGCCACCCTCTTGGGTCACTCTGCTGCCATTCCCAATTTTGCTGAACTTTTTTGGGCTACACCTCTCAGAGTTCCTTAACCTGAATAATCAATGGCCATGATGAACTCTGGGAGTGATAGTAAACAACAACAACCTTGATTTAATACAATGGAAAACAGATTTCTTTATCTCTTTATTGAAAATATTGTACCCCACCTTTCTCCTTAAAAAAAAGACCAAGGTGGCTTGGTCATATCAATACAAGATAATATTTAAAAGCTAAAAACAGTAAATATATAAATGTTTTAACAGAACCAAACAAATACCACATTAGAACAGTAAGCAAAAGCAACACCAAAAACACATTCTAAGCAACAACACACAACAATCAATTTAAAAAACTGTCTCAGAGAGCAAGTCACTAAGGGAAAACCTGCCTGAAGAGAAAGGTCTTCATCCGCTTGTGGAAGGAAAATAAAGATGGGGCCAGTCTGGACTCCAGTGGGAGGGGGTTCCGGAGTCTGGGGACAGTATCAGAGAAAACCCTCTCCTCTGTCTCACCAAATGCACTTGTGAAGATGGTGGGACTGACAGAAAGGGTTCCCCTGATTATTTTAACACCTGGTCAGCCTCATAAAATGAGAGATCCCTGAGATAGCTTAATGAACTGAGCTATTGATTTCAGATGCAAACCCAATGATTTAAGAAGTGGTGACATTAAGACATCTGTTTTCCTCAGTTAAAAAAAACCACTAGAAGAAGTAGTGCTGTTTCTCATTTTATTTGCAAAAGATGGTTGAAACGTATATACCAGGGTTTCTCACAGAAACCTGGAACATGTTTCCAGACATATATAAATGGGTATACATCTCCTATACTTTACATGGGCATAAAAAAAACAACAACAGTAGCACACACGGAGCAATATCATTTCCTCCATAAAATTGAGACCAGAAGGTCTGAGCTTTTGACCTATTAATTTCAGCAAAGGCACAAACATTTAGGACAAATGCCCTTTCCTTGATCTCTTTCTAGGAACAATCTTCAATCCATAGATTATTATGGACAAAGTTTTGTGTTTTGACATTGTCTGGGTTTTGTTCTTTTTCTTGTGGTTTAGGAATATCTTCACCTTCAGAAAACTAGCAAGGTGGACGTGGATTCAGGTGGAAAGAAGTGTAAGGAGAAAATGATTAGTGTACTCTCTGAAGCAAAAGTGCAGAGAGAACATAGAAGGTATAATTTAGTATTGTTTCAGATAGAAAAGCACCTTTGAATTGATAATTACATTCTGACATAAGTGCAGGCATATTCATGAAGTCTCTCTTGTACAACATAGGTTTCAGGCATTTGAAGTCAAAGAGTATTCATCGCTGGATGAGCTACAAAATGAATTCAAGGCAGCAGGACTTACAGAACTATTCAGTGAGTTTGTGCCAGCGCTGTTAAAGTAAATTTAATGCAGACGCATCTGGTTGTGACTAAAACTGTCATTGAGCAGATCCAGTGGATGCTGAGAGAAGATAAAATGAAAGGTTGGGTGGTGAACAGCTCTTCAAGCTTCCCTCCATCATGAAATGTCAGAAAAACCCATCTCTTCTGCAAGAAACAAAAGGCTGTTCTCATAATTCAGACAAAACAGTATTTTTTGACTGTGCACCCTGACAACCGAGTGCCAGAAACTGCCAAGGTTCTTAACAGTTGATATTTAAAAATTGTAGGTCACATGAGAAGGATGACAGCGAAATCACTTTTCTTTAAGATGTGGATGGAAATGTTGCAATTATTTCTCATTCTCCTGCAATTAAATTATATTTTAAAGAAAATTTTCTCCAGTTTGATGATTTTGATCCTCACTATATTACTTGGGAAGCTATGCAGGAATATTTTTTCTGCTTATCTGTATATTTTCAAAACATAACATTGAGAATAAATCACAGTGGCCGAAATCCAGTAGTAGCTTGAAACTAGAGTAGGTTCATTGAATCTGGGGATTTAGTGAGTCAGTGAGTGGGCCTATTCTACTACTGGATTTCAACCAGTGCGTCATTTTCCCTCATCTGTACCCAGTTTTTGGCTCAAGGAACTCCCAGTATAACTTTATAAATCTTAAATTAAAAAAATAAATTTAAATGAAAAGTCGGATGTAATGTTTAGACCAATTTGAGTTTTAATTACTCTGCTTTAAAACTTGGAAAACTGAAGTGAAATGATTGTGAAATCATAACATTTGCTGTTCTTTATAATTAGGTTTTCTGTTCTCGCTATTACAACTGGGACTTTTGTATTGTATTCTTTTCCTTGACAACGTTTGTTGATAGATTCAGTTTTCTAAATGGCCACTTTCTTCTGCATGTCCTGCAAAGCACTTAAAAGGAAGATAGGAGCGATCACGTGTTCACTAAATAATATTTGTCTGCTGTTTTGGGCAATTTGTCCTAATGATTTCCTACTCATAATTGTGTACATGCACAGTACTGAGAGAGCACTCTTAAGCAGAAGTGTTAATAGGATGCTACAGCCAATCTGCTCAGTAACGGACACACTTTTTCTAGCACCCATAATGATTGTGCCGGCTCCTGTCTCAGCATATATTGTGGAGATGCGGTTAGCTAAGGGAGTGCCAGCATAAATTTTAGCCATGGTATGGCAGAGCAATTAGAGACCAAATTGCTAACATGCGCTGGACTATGGAGAAAGCCAGAGAGTTCCAGAAAAACATCTACTTCTGCTTCATTGACTACACAAAAGCCTTTGACTGTGTTGACCACAACAAACTATGGCAAGTCCTTAAAGAAATGGGAGTGCCTGACCACCTTATCTATCTACTGAGAAATCTATATGTGGGACAGGAAGAAACAGAAGTGATATGGAACAACTGATTGGTTCAAAATTGGGAAAGGAGTACGACAAGGCTGTATGTTGTCTCCCTGCTTATTTAACTTACAGTATATGCAGAATGCATCATGAGAAAGGCTACTGGATGAATTCCAAGCCGGAATTAAGATTGCCAGAAGAAATATCAACAACTTCAGATATGCAGATGATACCACTCTGATGGCAGAAAGTGAGGAGGAATTAAAGAACCTCTTAATGAGGGTGAAAGAGGAGAGCGCCAAAAATGGTCTGAAGCTCAACATCAAAAAAACTAAGATCATGGCCACTGGCCTCATCACCTCCTGGCAAATAGAAGGGGAAGATATGGAGGCAGTGACAGATTTTAATTTCTTGGGCTCCCTGGGCACTGCAGATGGTGACGGCAGCCACGAAATTAAAAAACGACTGCTTCTTGGGAGGAAAGTGATGACAAACCTAGACAAAATCTTAAAAAGCAGAGACACCACCTTGCTGACAAAGGTCCGCATAGTCAAAGCTATGGTTTTTCCAGTAGCAATGTCTGGAAGGGACAGCTGGATCATAAAGAAGGCTGATCACTAAAGAATTGATGCTTTTGAATTGTGGTGCTGGAGGAGACTCTTGAGAGTCCCCTGGACTGCAAGGAGAACAAACCTATCAATTTTGAAGGAGATCAACCCGAAGTGCTCACTGGAAGGACAGATCCTGAAGCTGAGGCTCCAGTACTTTGGCCATCTGATGAGAAAAGAAGACTCCCTGGAAAAGACCCTGATATTGGGAAAGTGTGAAGGCAAGAGGAGAAGGGGACAACAGAGGATGAGATGTTTGGACAGTGTTACTGAAGCTACCAATATGAATTTGACCCAAATACTGTATTCATTTTCCAAAGAAGAAACAGATTTTTGGACACTTCCACTTGTTTTTTCCCCTCACATCCTCTCTCAGTTTAAATTATCTGTATGGCCCTTGAATGATTATGGAGCAGAAAACTGGTCCCCGGACCTATTGAAACTGTTCCCTCTTCCCCCAGATTAGGGTTAGCAAGATCGAACTGTGTGGAAAAATCCCGATATTATCAAATCTTTGTATGTCTGTGTAAGAACGGCTACATGTGGTTGAAGCAAAAATAAAAGATGTTCAGTATTCAATTTGGAACTTGGAAAATTTAATTTTTTAGTCTGAGCCAGAATTTACCAGCCAGCATGACCACTGGCTGCAAGATTTAGGGAGCTATTTTTTTAAAAAAAAGATAATCTGCTCATGCTTAGTTATTTTACAAGACATTTTATCATAGAGTCTGTTGCTCTGATCCAGAGCAGTTTGCTCTTTCCTGAGAGGCTAACAGAACCATTTTTAATAATCTTGTTCCCTGGGGGTGGGATGTCTTTCTCCTGCCATCCAAGCTACAGTCCTATGTCTGATTTTCTGCTTCTTTGTGCCAGTGGTCCTTAAGAAACAATACAATTGTTTCAGAGTGCATTTTTCTTCTTCCCTTATGATACCAAGCACCATGCAACTGTGTACAATGTGACTGAATGTCTTTGGAGTTCATCAAGCTTTAATGAGCTATATCTATTTTTTTTTTAAAAAGGATGTTTCAAAGCATATGGTAGATGTCATTTTCATCCACACTTGCTTATTTAATGAGACAGCAGTAAAAAAAATAATTAAACAGTCTCCTTATAAGTTTGGGCGGTAGATGCGTTAGCATTTTGTCTACTGAGCTGTATGATTTTTGAAATAGATTTTCAACACAAATTGGTGTCTTGTGAATTTCAGAGGGCAACATCTGCCTTTGTAATGCTTAAGAAAAAGTAATGAAACACAAATGCTGATAATGTTTGAGGAGTTGGAGGGCTTGTGCATTGAATTACCGTAATACAAAATTGTGGCACCTTGTGGCATGCCGCTTGGGTTAAGGTGGTGTTTTCCAAAACACTTTCATTTAAGGGGTATATTGTATTGTTAACTTCAATTTGGTATACTTCACTTTTGTACTTAATAACGTGCACTGTTGTCCCTTTATCAAAGGTTGTTGTCACAGCTGCAATAATATAATAATGTCCAGACTTTCAAAAGACGGTGCTTCTGAAGATTATCATAGTACCATTCTCTTGTAGTCTTATGCTAAGTGGTTCCACATGAAGTGTTCTGTGGCACATCTGATCAACTATCAACTCTTTCCTTCCACATGAAGTGTTCTGTGGCACATCTGATCAACTATCTGTGGAACTCTTTCCTTCTCATTGCTGTTGAATTTTGAAAGTCTGTGCATTTTTGTCATTCTTTGTCTTTTATATCATGGATAGTACTTTATTTTCTTCTGAGAGCCGCAGACCCACACAGATAGTTACCGTGGGCTATATGTTGACTTTCTGTGGCAAAATAGACTTTTAATGGATCATATTTCTGGGAACCAAATTGTGTAGGCCGATAATTCATTTATTTCATAATAGCCAGAATTCTATTATACCCGCCAGTGGCATCCACTGAGGTAGATGAAAAGGAAATGGACCATATTTCTGGGAACCATAATAGCCAGAATTCTATTACACCTGCCAGTAAAACTCAATCTCAGTGATTAATTGCCACAAATGAAGAAGTCTACATAGGCATTTGCTGTTCTGTAACTGCTGCAACTTGGACTGCAACACCAAATGCTTACACTGACTTCTCTACTGGCAGCAGTTCACCACAGAGATTTGCACTGGATGAACTAGTGAGTTAGGTATCTGGTTGCAGAGTCACAGGTTGGCAGTTTGATTTCGCACGGTGCGTCCTGTGAGTAGAACCAGCCTGTGTAGCCTTGGGCAAGCTGCAGAGTCCCAGAATGCCCCCAAAGAAGGGAATGGTAAACCACTTCTGAGATACTTTCTATGTGGAAAATCCTAGAAAGGGTCACCATAAGTCAGAATTGACTTGATGGCAAATGTTTATTATTTTAAATTCATAATAAGATTCTGGCCAAAGGTAGTGAATACTGATATGCTTAATTGCATTATTGTTGTTTTGTTACATCACTAACAGTCTGAGTGCCGCTTTTTACAACCTGCAATAGTGCACTCAACTGGCGGGTTCAGCACTTGGTAGCAGCTGAATACTCTGAAGCTGAACTACACATTTCTGTTAAGTCTTGTGTATACAACATTGTCAGTGCCTCGATAACTTCTCATCATAGGCCATCTCCTGACACCCTTCCTACAGCTTCTGAATATAAATATGAACTCAACTCTGTCTTTTATACATACTTCAGCACAGGCTATGCCATTCTGCTACAACATGGAGTAAAATCTTTTGGTTTATTTAGACATGGAGTTTTTACTAGGGATGAAATGTTCAGATGATTTTGGAGTACAGAACCCATATTCCTCTATGCTAGGAGTTCTACCTGACAGACAGATACTTAGAAGTAGCTCATCTAAGAAAAAAGCCTAAGCTAGAAGGCTTTGAAGCCTTGCTTCACCTAAGCTTCCTGTTCCTGCTCCAGTGCTAGAGGGGAGCATTCTTTCTGAACAGGAAGTTAGATGGCGCTAGGCCTGGCTAGGCCCCAAAGCCTTCTAGTTTAGGGCCTGCTCCAGTGCTAGAGGGGAGCATTCTTCCTGAACAGGAAGTTAGGTGGCGCTAGGCCCCAAAGCCTTCTAGTTTAGGCCTTTCTTCTAGGTGCGACACATTTAGGGGACTATAAGGTGTTTTGCGTGGCAGGTAGAACTCCTAGAATGGAGAATTATGGGATCTAGCCCCTCCCATCTCCCTAGCCTTGACTTCTGTTCTTCCTTTCCTTGCCTGAGTGACAGGTCTCTCTGTTACATTTCCTAGGATTCCTTGGGAGAAGGCTACAGTGGCCAAACCTCTTTACAGTATTTGTTTGTTTTAACTTGTACCCCACCCATTTAGTGAACAATCCACTACTCTGGGTGGCTTCCAGGAAAATAAAAACAACAATTTTTTTTAAAAAAATTAGCATCTAAAA